ATGGCTCGTTCAATGGCTGACACAATTATCTGGATTCATTCGATTGTTTTGATTTGAGTGAGTGGCAACAGCATCAAGCACCCTGGAATTAATTGCCATACTGCATGTTTTATTGTGGATACTTTTGGATCATTACTCCTCATGAATGGCGTTATATATGTCGTACACTGAATAATCTAATTTTCAAAAATAATCCAGGCGAGTTCAACTATTTTACTGGATGATTTTTCTGTACTTAACATGTATATGTTTTCCAGTTGCGTTTGCCACATATTTATAATTATCTTTAGGCTAAATGCAGTAACTTCTTATAGAATGTTTATAACGCTTCATATTCCTGCCTGAAGTTTCACAAGCAGTCTAAACTTTAAAATTACTTGTCTGGTCATGTTCATTATTTTTAAATCGCCATATACGTCAACAACCTGCATGTTAACCTGGTTCATACATACGTTACACTATATCTCCATGTCTTCTAAATTTAGAAATAATCTGGATCGCCTCTAACATTTATTAATAAACACATCATAGTCGTTGTTGCTAATCGTATTTGGATTTATGGATTGGTTTATCATATTAGCAGTCTAAAATGCAAACATAATTTAGATAATAAGATTAAAAATTTAGGTACTATCAACTGCACTAGTAAAATTACTAAATCCTCAGGTAGTTGTTAGTTGAACAAACTTTTAAAATCTAAACTACGTAGCCTACTAGAATTAACATTAAACAAATATTTCTGAATTGAAATTTATAATTAAATTAGGCGTCTCGGATTCTTTAACGTTATAAATTTCTGATAATTTTGAATCACCTAAAACAACAATGCCTATTTTTCCACTGGCCAATCTTCAATCAACACTATAACTAATTAAACATAATAGTTTCAGGATATCTTCATAAAGCATTGTCATGACTTGACAATCACATAATATGATTGATAAAATTAATGAAACTATTAACAAAATAGGTCAGCAAATTGACTTATGATTATCACTAGTGTTGTTTTTCTTCATTCACTACAGATGATTACAGTATGTTTCTCTATCAGTTGCTCATTCAGTAAATATCTCAAAACTTTGTCAGTCTAATTGATGGTTTAGCGACACAATCATGCATGCAAATAATCAATATAAGCAGTCGAGCAAATATCCTGCAAACTGAAAACATCAATGTCGAATTTACCTTAACACTGACTAAGGTTCAAGCTATTATCATAGGCATGAGTTGGGAGTGCACTCCCCTTGGTTACAACTTATGTTCTCCCTGATAATCACATGAGCATCACTCACTATTAATCATCTTGTAAAAAATTATTTAGCCAAATACACCTTGCAGCACCACATCACTTAGTAATATGACACATAGGCTTAACTGATTTCAATAACGTATAACCACTATATCTCAATTAAATCGTGTTCCGCCTTATGATAAACTGCATACTTTCAACTAACTTGTATACCCAATCAGCCGGCGAGTATAGATATAAATAAATAGTCTGCCGCAGATCAGAACATTGAGTCTAGAGCATGTCTCTTAAGAATACACTCATGTTTAACGATTTGTTCCTAGCTATCTGTCCAAAATTCATATAATTATCACTCGCATTTTTTAATTTTGTTTTGATAACCATTCACGTGTATTAGTAATATTACTAAATTCTATCACGGTCAGGTAAACATGGGGTTGAGAAAATCTCCCCGTAACTAAATAAACCGTATCAAACTAACTGGAACACTAGTTGGAATTCTTCTCCACGGTAATACTTTTGTTCCTTCAGTTAGCCTACTAATACAGATGCAATTGGAAATCGACTCATATGGACAACTTACCGGCATAATCGTTATTTGATTTCATAAGTTAGACTAAAAGTAGTACTAATATTAACATTTCTACAATATTCATAACTTTAATATTTCTAAACACAAAATACTTACTACCTATACGTTAAGTTATCAACCAACGGCTATTACACACGCATCGTTTTATTATTACTATTATTATTATTGTAATCCCATTTTTTTATAGCTCAAATAATCACTCAAATTTTCATTGTAAGCGTGTTAAGCATGAAGGCAGAAATTTTAAAATTATTACATGTATTTCCCGACCAGATGCTGCCGTCTTCTTTTTGATTTATCTTTCAGCTTGTCATCACCCGGAGGAATCTTACTATTCTTGGTAACCTTCGGCACACTACAGTCCCATCCAATTGGGTATCGAACCAACACCACGTTGATTCTGGTGGGAGAGTAGTGTAGTGGCATTGGACCATAACCACACTATCCTCAAAGCTGAATACGAGATTACTCGGAAAATAGGTATTCAATATTTAACGCGAAGAAATACCTAACGATGGAGAAGGCGCGAAGAATGAATTGAACAGACTAGAGTTGATCGAACGGCATGGCTCGGCCATGCAGGCGTGGTCTCTGCTGAATGTTACCTTATATCATCTTTTCATATTAAATATATTGTTCTTTCTCTAGCCTAACCTTGTTCTACATCATGTATTGGTAATTGATACGATACAGTGAGTTGGTGTAGTCGATGGTGTGACTTCCACGTAAGATCTTATAGATTAGGCAGTTATATCATGACAAATCTACAAATTTAGGATTAGGTCTATTATTAGAGCAGTAGTAATATCATAGTAGACCATAAATTCTACATGGTCATTTTCCCATCACCTCGGGTCGAAAATGAGAAAAGTCAAAATGTTTCAAAATCAATGTATATTGTTTTATTTAGCGACATTTATTTCTGTGTTTGCTAACAAGTGAAGATTGCTGTACAGTGATCTCGGATCTCAGTATGGTGGCCGAAATATTATCATAGGTCATTTTCCCAGACATTGTGGTTCTTAACCGTTCCAACAAACTGGAAACATCTATGATTGTGTCCCCTAAATTCAGCAATTCTACCAAAATAGCAACTCTTTTTTGGTTGGCCATTACAAACAGATTAATAAATGTCCTCGAACACAGCGAGCGAAGACGGCGTGGAGAGAAACACAAATGTAGTCACATATTGAAAAGTATTCCAAGGTAATATCCCTAAAAGGTGGAGAGCGGCTTAAAAATTTTCAACAGAAGTGTTGCGATCAAGCAAAGACTGCAGCCGGTAAGGCAGAAAATGGAACGGAGTAGGTAGTATTAGAAGGTGCCATAAGTATTCGGAATTTGACAAATCCTTGGCTCGTAGAACTTTTATAATCGAATTATACCACGCAGTCAAATCAAAAGTCAGAAATGAAGGGGTTCGAAGATATTTTTGGTAAACCATCGATATGTTGAAAAGCGTTAGATCTAGGTTGGCTAGCAGTTGCAAGGGATGTGTAACACGGGGTATACATGTGTGGTCTGATGTGCCTGACAGGAAGCTTTCATTTAGTGTGCCCAGTAAAGATAATGTTAGCATACATTTTAATAACTAACAGAGCTAAATAAGAATATTCATCTAAATCTAAAGGAATGGTTCTACAGTATTTGGGCGCCGAGTTTATATGGACATCAAGGAGGAAGAATATATTTCTGAAATCTCAGTGAGTGAATTTGAAGTAGATTCATTCGCGGTGTATTATTAAATGCATTTTTACTCGTTAATAACTTATAGAGCTATTTATGTTGAGGATTTGTTTATCGCTAGGTATTTGTTTGAACGTTAATGGCAACGCAGTTATTAATTTGCCATAAGTGAAATGGCTGTGCATTTGAAACGTGTACTGAATGAAATGATAGCACATACAGCGTCGTGTTTATAGAAATCTGTAGATCACCAATGTAGATGATCTGTGTCAAGTAATAGGGGGCATATTAGAGTTAGACGGGAATGGTGTGACCGACAGCTGGGTTAGAAGTCACACCTTGCGGTGAGCACCAAACGTGGACTACCTTATTGACGTATCAAGATGCTTTGAAGACTGTGGAGTGGCATCGGACCATAACCACACAATCCACAAAGCTGAATACGAGATTACTCGGAAAATAGATATTCAATATTTAACGCGGAGAAATACCTAACGATGGAGAAGACATACAAGGAATTGAATGAATTAGAGTTGATCGGATAGCATGGCTCGGCCATGCAGGCGTGGTCCGTCTGAATGTTACCTTATATCTTCTATTCATATTAAATATGTTGTTCCTTCTCTAGCTTAACTTTGTTCTACATCATGTATTGTTAATTGATACGATACAGTGAGTTGGCGTAGTCGATGGCGTGACTTCCACGTAAGATCTTATAGATTAGGCAGTTATATCATGACAAATCTACAATTTTTAGGACTAGGTCTATTATTAGAGCACTACTAATATCATAGTAGACCATAATTCTACAACTGTACAACAGAAAGGACGTTATTGCAGAAATATATTAGTTAAAGTAGATACAAGCAAAAGTGAGACAACTGCCGCATGGGCTAGTCCATGGCATATGATTATCTGATGGGCGTTGGTTGTCCTTTACCTTGATGGGGATCGATGATTTGTTCGATAATCCATGACCCAACTGCTGGATGGTTTGGCTAGGGCTTAGTGACATTTCGCTGGCCCCACAAGATAAACAGATAACTTGGGCATTGTGCACAGTAGGGTAATAAATGACTTTTAGCGTATCAAGTATGTTATAGCAACTCAGAACAGTTAACGAATTAAAGCGTATGCAAAGAACTACCAATTTACCCAGTACGATCATATCCTAGAATCTGCTGGTGAAAAAATAATATCTGCTGCCTCCATCGTCTTTTTCGAAAGAAGGCTGGATAAATATGGCGACGTGCAAGAAAAGGACTAATCCAGGACTATGACTTCCAGTTTCAAATGGAAGAATCTGAATCCAAATACTGTAAGTAGAAAAAAGGAGTAGTCTGCTTTGGGATTATAAGAATTGAAACTTTAAGTTTTAGTTGAAAACAAACGCAAAGTATTTTATAGTGATTAGCATCGAAATATTTCTTTGTTAGTTAAAATCTCAGTATTGTTTGAAGTGTCATCAAGGTTACCTGGACCCTCCCGACCTATCAGCTGTTTTCTAGTTTTCATCATCGAAACAGCTGATTGTCATTCGTGGCGTGTAGCTTATCACTTAGGCGTAACAAGCTAGAAATATAAAAGATGCATGAATTGAGGTTTTCAACTCTCATTTACAAGAACAAAGCGGTAGCTTTGCCTTAAAACGTCTGGGACAATCTCTGTGAATACATGCAAAGCTATTTAATTAAATATCCAAATTAATACTAAATCCCAAAATCCTTAAGCATGATTGAGAATGGTTCTTTAGAAAATGCACCAAGTAGGTTTAGGTATTACAGTATCACTAATTTCCCAAGTCCCTAGTTCTAAGTTATGTGGTAGCAACCAAAGTCCTGGTGTCCTACAATGTATATGCAGGTTCATATTGTCTCAGCAATCTAAAATCTATGGCGGATTAGTTGAATATATAGATGGAGCTAGTGTCGGGACACCTAGAATTAATAAGAATGAATGGGATAAAGCGTTTACCAAGGCATGTTGCTTGCTCGATTAACACATTTTTTAGGATAATTGTTGTGATGACGTTCGGCGAAGTTCTCAGTGCGATAAATTGACGCTGACCATCGAAACACTTTTCGTCGGAGAAAACTGTTTGGAACACTGTGGAGATAATCAGCTTCCTGTCTATGTTATGGAGCAATGGACAGCTCAAGTTCTCCCTCAGAAGTAATTCAACGATACTTTTAATGTGCTCACACACTTTTGTTTGATTTTTTGTTATTATTCTGTGTCTTGGGTATTTAGAAGGTTGTAATCTAAGGCAATCTGCCTGAATTTACTAGTCATAATATTTGTTTTTAAGTACACTCAATTTGATTTTGTCTGTTGTTTCATTTGGAACTTTCAGTTTTAAAAATAGGGGAATCTCTATTTCCGGTTGTCAGATTGAGCTCTTGGACTACATACAAACATCCCCTTTAATGGCTGCAATCAAAGAACCAGGTCGTCCTCGCAGATATAAGCTTACTCACAGGTTGGTGTCATCTTTTTTATCTAAACATAGTTACTAGTTGTCTTTTTTAGCACTATTAACTCCGTTCTTGTTTGTCTTCCTTTACAGATCCTATGTATGCGATCGCATTTCACAAGTGGGTGATTCTTTTCTTATGGATGCATCAGATATACTGAGTATGGACTGTTTAAGTGACAGGAATAAAAGCAGTCAAGATGATGATCATGATGGTAGTTCAGTCTCAAAAATAGTTCGTCACTTGGATGGTTGTGAAAGTCCTATTAAACGAGTTTTTACACCTGTTTGTATTAGTGAAAAGGAGCTTTTGCACATCACTGTTGTAACGCTAAAACATCTTCCCCAACAGTTTCTTGGTTGTCCACTTTGCCTAGATTCAACTTACTCAACGAATAAAGATAGCTTCACTATGCTTAGTCGTGCTAGATGTCATTCACCTGAAACTCTTGTAGACTTGAATGTTCGTAAAAAGAACACTGCACTTGTTTCTCATATAACCTACGGAAAACCTAATGTACATCCGCCAAACTTTCTTAACTTACCTAAATGCTCTTCAAACGAAGTTGTCAGAAGTCCTATTGTTGTCATAGCAGATACAGAAGAAAGGTTTTTACAATCTACGTTTGATAACCCCTTTTACAACATTCTACCACCCTGCTCTTCTTGGGATTGTACCGAGTCAGGTCACTCGACTTTAACAAAAAAGTCGTCTCGTTTAACTGACTCCAATAGAATATGCCAGATTCCTCTAGAGTCACCTCCCCGTAAACAGCAACGTATCAGTTGTTACGCTCATGAACTTACTTCCGAAACAAAAGATTCAGATGACTCCAATGAAATGCCCTCTTCCGTCACCCCTACCATGAACAAAACTCCAGGTGTGCAACGTGAAGGCTGTATTAACAAAGTAATTGCAGAATTCACGCTACTGAATGTCGAACGTGACCTAATTATGAACTCAGTTGACGATTCAAATATTGGTTCAGTATGTATACCACCTGTTAATGCGTGTTTTTCTTCTTCCTTCGAAGTGCACAGAGACTCCATACAATGTAGCCAACTCAGTTATAGTACAGCTAAAAAGCGTGACCATGCTTCTGAATCCCAGCTAGGCACAGACTCAGAGGATTCAGTACTGTTAACATCACCCAGTGCTAGTTCTCAACCGGTGCCTAGACTAAGCAGGAGACGAAACGCTACTTCCGCCTCCGTCTGGCCTTCATCATCGTTTCACAATGACGGCACTCCTTTCTTCAACCGCCGCACTGGATTGCCTTTACAATCATCTCCGGTAAGTCTGGTCTTTCGAATTCCAATGATTTTTCGAAACCCCGATAACACGTTCTTCTCTCACTCATCTGGCAGGTGTCTTCGAAGTATTGCTCGTATATCCTGGGACCACCGAGTAAGTAACGCAGCTGTTAGGAAACGGGTACTAGGTAAGGATGGCAAATCAATTGATGAAGTAGTGAAACTTCATCAGTTGAGATGGTTGGGACACGTGTTACGTATGCCCAACCACCGACTACCTCGACGTGCTATATTCAGTGGTATAGGAGTAGGTTGGAAGAAAGCTAGGGGCGGCCAAACCAAAACTTGGCACAAATCCATGAAGTCACTGACAAGTGGATTGAGTCATGTTGGTAGGTGTAGACTACCTGGTTGGGGACCGCGAGATGATAGCAACCGATGGTTAGAGACCCTGAATGACATGGCTCAAAATCGTTTGCAATGGCGCAGGTGCATCCACTCTCTATGTTCTCCCAAATTCTAATCTTCTAAATTCTTCATGTCCCTTTTTTCCTCTTTCTAAATTTATTTCACTGAATTATACTCGTTAAATAACATCTCCAAACCCTAATCTTCCCGATTACTGCTTATACTCTTGCTACCTCTACCACTACGGGATTTGAATCGACCACTGCATCTCTGTGCTAATGTGGTATGGCAACTTGAACTGATGTACGTGCGTACTAAGTTCTACGTTGTTACTGACTGACTGATATAAAATTATTAATATACAACTTCTGTGTATGATATCCTGAAGTGGATGTGTTTATGTGACAAGTGTTCGACTTGAAGCATTCCATTCTTTGTGTGACTCTTAAGCGAGAAAAATTAAAGGCAGACTCAGATCTTGACTGTATGAGTGCTCATAAGGGTTTTATTAAGATTAATTTGTGAAAAGTCGAACCGTGATATTTCACAATGGCATGTGAAAACTATTTTCTACTAGGATCGTTTTGTAACTGATATACTTCATAAATGGCAAAGTCATGTCTTAAAATATAATTAACTTCTAATCGCATTTTATAAATTAGTATTGCAGCTATTTAAATGGAAGATAATATCCTACATATTACCCTGACTTTGATTTGAATGGCAAAAATTCTATTAATTCAACTACTGTTTAACTGTCGTCCAGTGGTTAATGCGTTTAGCTTTCGACTAATATCCAAAATGCACTCCATCCACCTTGACTAATGTTACCGGGTAAAATTATTAGCCCTCCTAGAGTGTGGATCATACTCAAATACCTAGTGAATAGCTTATTTTAATTTGTAGTTAACGTAAACACTATCAATTTGTGATATCAAGGTTTCGTTATCAATTTTTTAGTACACTCACTCAAAAATATTATTTGTGGATCTATGCTTGAGTATAGATAAACTCCATCGTGTCATCTTATTCATTTCCAAGTTGTTATCGATTCTTTGGGAGTTTATCCTGCATATCATTTGAAGGTTATTACAGTTTTCAATGTTATATCACCTGAGTTGATTCGTTAGTGTCATGATACCCCATAGTTCTGGTTGTGGTTTTTAGTACATATGTACATTTTTGCCATGTATTCAATGTGCCTAAATAACTGTAATAATGCGAAATATTTGTATCATATTGCTATTGTTTTCCTTTCATTAGATTAATTATCTCAATATTGCAACAGTGTTGCGTTTAAGAGATATAATTCAACTTGGTACCAAGCTGGTCTATAAACTATACAGAGTTAAAGGTTTATATAGCAATTCATTCTTTTTTTCTATCTAATAGCTAAATAGTCATGACCTTAGTTAACCGATCCCACTTATTAACCAAGTACAATTCCCTCTACTCAGCTATGAGCGATATATTTTGGTGTTAAGGTTAGTAACACCGTTTAGCTTCTCAAATCTAAGCGGGTTGATAAAAATTCGAACTTACAATCTATGTGTTAGACGATAGACGTTTTTGATCCACTGAATCAGAGCTCGTTATAAAGAAAATCCTTAGTCTGATACATCATCTTGTCTATAGTCACTACTAATTTGGATTTAATTTCATGTGCAAAGACAACTCAATCAGTGATAATCAACATGTAACCTTTCACAAATATACGTTTGTCCGACTTCCCACCTCACAGCAACACAAAGAGAATAAATTAATAAGTGCAATAGCTTAAAAGTTGAGGCAGTTGTAATGACAACGACTGTAAAGAAAGACTCAAGTTTTAGAATATGGTTTCGGAACATTGAATGAAAAGGTACAAACTAATAAATACTGGAACTTCAGATCTAAAGGACGTTAAAGAATGAATACTTTCATATCATTGCGATCAGTTCTGAGCCATGTTACTCAATGTTACAAAACCTGAAAGATCAATTCATAGTTTCAAAAGTTCATATCAGAACCTTCATTTATAGTTCACAGGTTATATAAGTGAATATAAAAAAAACGGACATTTACGAACTTTTAGAAGAGTAAGTTTTAAACAGCTAGTCTGACGAAATAGCCAGTGAGTGCTTGACCAGTAGGTGAGCCAAAAGACTTTTCTGATCAGTTATACATGACAGATGACTAAAGTAACGGATCTTTTATCTTAGTCCTAGTTGTATTCAACTAAGTTTCTCTTTCAAATACCATGAACAATAAATTTTACAGTGGTAGTCATGCTAAAGTAACTTAGGCTATCAGGCAGTCAGTCATAACTAACACAAAATCTGACAAACATGTGTATCAGTTCAAGTCCCCACACTATACCTACACCCTGAAACGAAATTATAAAAACAGATATCACAGTAGTAGTATTAGAAGTAACATCAGCATGAATGACAGTAGGAAAAATTAAGCCTAGACAGTGTGATTTGAAAGGGAAAACTGAATTCACCGAATCAAATGTATGAGGCTATTTTAAAACTCTACATATGAAGGAAGAATATGAATGAATGCAACTAATTCATTCTGACCAGTTCTAAACAACGTCACTCAATCTTTTCAACCATTGATTACAGTGATCATGTATACACCAAGCAAGTAGTTTGTATGTACCAATACAGTTCAATCCAACAGTCGATAACTTCATGGAATAAACTGATGTTTTGATCTACCTTCTCCTAGCTTTCTTACAGCCCACTCATACCTAAGCAAATATCATATGTCGAGGTAGGCGGTAGTTGGGCATACATATTACACGTTCCGACAGCCTTAATTGATGAATTCAACACTGTAACTATCAGTAGTGAAGTTTCTTGTCACTTAGTCCCTTTCAAATATGAATTATTATAAATCTGAAGTTTAATCACATGATATAATCTGATGTAATAAATAAAGATATGTCCTTTCTAAGCTGTTTTGTAAAGTTTCCATACATCTTATACATTTGTTTTGAAAGAATTATTGAGTGTTTAGAAGTTGAGTTTATGAATCATTGAAACATTATTTAGTTGAACACATATATATTGGTACAAAGGGGGCATCAGATACATATGCACCACAAAAATCTCATTTGATTTGTGTGGGGGCTGTGATATTATCCGGATGCCCAAACTGAAGCAGGTGATTTTCCTAGGGGGCGGCATCCGGAGACTTTGACCTGAAAATCTGATCCACAAGATAGTGGAGAAACGTCAGGAGATGCATCCCCATTTTAGCCGGTGTCAGTCAGTCAGCTACAACGTAGGACCAGGCACATATATGCATCGGTTCAAGTTGTCATACCGCATTAGCACAGCAAGATGAACAGCGGATTCATAGAAGTAGTTTATTCAATGGTCGTAATATATAAAAGAAAGAGTGCATATAAGGATATAGTACAGGAAGAAAGAGTTAGTACGTAGAGTGACATGAAGCCGGTGGCCAATAATTGGTTCATACGCCTTTTCTCCCAGGATCCTGGAGCCCATGTGCACCATTGGTTTGGAATCAGGGTTTTCTAACTCCCCTAGGTAAACTCTCCGTATCTACCAACCCGGTTAAAGCACCGGATATTCGCTTTTCGTCCTCTCAATTATGTAAAGAACACCCCTGCCACGAGAAGGCAGTGAGTAGAACTTCCCTGGCATATACTATATATATAAGCATTACTCTCAATGTTTTATACATTATCTCCAAGATTCTAATACATTTTAGTTACTACAAAAGGTAATACAGCAATTATAATGGAGTACTTTTTCCACATTTTGATCACTTACTCCGTAAAGCGATAATTTAATGATCTAAATGTCTGACTTTTAACAACTAGATCATAAGTTTGAATTCTGTCTCACTTTTGATCTGATCAATTGGATAATAATATCATTACTCTATATACACAAATTATGACTAAAACCTGAGTACACTATGTGGTATTTGATATTTAAGGTACATCATCATTTAATGTTATCTTTTGCTCAATTTTGTTGTATATTGAATGTTTATTTCTCTTTTTTGATTGAAATAACAATACCTATATTTGGTAATATTGTGTAACTTATGTATAAATAGAACTTACATTACTTTTCTTTGTGTTAAAATGACGTATGTCATTTTAAAAAGAAATTCCATTTGTTGCTACACTTTAATGTACTAATACTTTTTTCGGGAGGGGGAAGGGAGGAGGAGAAGGGGAAGAGGTTGCTAGGACATGAAAAACAATTTATGAATTGAATATGAAGGAGCCTAACAGTAGTATAAGACGTAAAACAATCTATAAATAATACACTTTTAGTACATTTTCAATTATAAACTAATAAATGTAATTTATTTCAGTTATGATTATTAAGAAGCAGACAACCTCAGGCTTAATGGATAAACATAAGCATATATATATATATATATATATATATATATATATATATATATATATATATATATATATATATATATATATATATATATATATATATATATATATATATATATATATATATATATGGTACTTTCATTTGTCACTAGGTGGATTAAGTAACGTATAGACCATTCCATTAATGTCCACTTTTATGGCTGATTGCTTATTACATAAATTAACGTACGCAAGTTATCGCTCTACAGGACATATTTATATTCAGAGAGGGATTTTATGGATATTATAGTAATTTAATAGTTGAATTTGTGAGTCAATTGAAGCTAAACCACCATAAAAAACCTGAAAGCATTGGACATTTGAGGAGTCTCGTACTAGGAAGAAACGACCGTTCCAGGTTTTCTATAGTGGTTTAGCTTCAATTGTCTCATGAAATCAACTATTAAATTACATATTTCTATATTAATTAGATAAAAATTATGCCGTACAGTGAATTGTATTGAGAAATGTATGTAAGTCACACATATTTAGTTACTTATCTATTTTTATTTATTTAAACACATAAACATTAGTACAAGGAGGCACCAAATAGATATGCGCCACATAAATCATTCGACTTATTTGAGTGCTGGAATACTATCCGAGTGCCTAAACCGAAGCAGGTTGTTTTCTTAGGGGGCCACACTCAGAGCGTTCGACCTAAAGGTCGAAGTCCCATGGGAGCAGATGACCAACAATTGGTTCATACGCCATTTGTTACTTCAGGATACTCGAGCCCATGTGCACCATTGGTTTGGAATGAGGGTTTTATATCTCCCCTAGGTGGACTCTCTGTATCCACCAACCCGTTTAAAGAGCCGGATATTCTCTTTTTGTCTTCTCAATTTCGCAATAAACACCCCTGCCACGAGAAGGCAGTAAGTAGGACTTCCCTGGTAGTGGTTGCATGCATGTGGCCATGTGAGAGCATTTGGAGAGGAGAAGCGGACTCTTCCCGTTCTCAGCCGTACCAGGGCATTTGTGGGTATATATGTATATATCTTAATGCTTACTTTGATCCAATATGACCAACAAGAAATGTGTATTGTTCATTTAGATTAGCAATCATAGACAGTGCAAATAGTTGACTCGGTCATAATTCAATTGACTAGATTGGTTTACATGTAACCAGCTTCTGTCTTCCTTAATGTACGACAATTGCTGACTAGTAGTAATTGAACATGGGGTTAGCTCGTAAAAACCAACTGTTAATGTGAACATACTTAAAAACCATAAAATCTAGAAATCAAAATGCGTTGTAAAGATAGTAGATGTAGCTACATTTGGCTATTGTATGTGACTTATTCCATCTTATTCAAGCTGTCAAATGCACAAAATTTGATGTTAAAACAATCTGCAAGTGTAATGATGTACGTAGACGCTTAAAAAACAGATAAAATCCCTTTGTCAATTAATTCATCTAGCTGAGTTGTCCACCTATTGTTTAATTCATTATTGAATCTAGGCAGCCTAAATGATACGCTCAAAAGGATATTTCGAATGCTGAGACACTTCATAACACAACTCAGATGACGTACCCCTTGATTTTTCCCAAGAGTTGAGGCAACAGTCTGGATTTAATACTAGTGATATGTCACATAAATCTACTATTTGTGTGACAAAAGTGAAAGAAATATATGGATCTAAGTTACCTTTCTAAGTTATCATTATTCCAGTTTGGTTCTGAAAATAAAGAATAAAGTGTTCCAGTTGAAGATACTGTTCCGAATATAAAAAAACCCAAGATCTCTAACCTGAAGATATTAGATAACTGTCTGTGTCCAACCATTATCATTTGAATAATCAATTTGCCGATTTAATTCAATCCATTTGAAATATATATCATCTCTCTTATAATTATTAGGTTCCTCTCAAAAGAAGTACAAGTGGGAAGTTTGATTTCGATTTATCATTGAATCGCATGAAAACATCTAGAAGGTAAAATTCAAATTGTATTTCTTTGTTTTAGTTTTATCATAATTATAATATTCTACATTATAACTTGATCAGTAGAATATGGTCAGCATTAAAGCACCAGACAAGCATGATGTTAGTTAATATACAACGACCAATCAATTGTAGATATGTAATTCGTTCGCGAAGTCAGTGACGTCCTGAATCGCTCTTTGACGACACCTCGGAATTGTCGATATACCTTGCTTATAGGCTCCAATTAGTACAAAACCTCAGGAAAACAAGGTTTCTTGCTGACTACCTCCAACTACCTAAGTGTTCAGTATGGAATTCGGTGGTGTTGTAGTAGTAGCCTAAGTCTTAACATAAAAAGTTTGTGATTATTTGATCACAGGTGGTGTTACGGATTAGAATTAATAATGGTGAAAGAATTTTGCATGGTTAAAATGAATAAATAAAAGGTTGAATAATGAATTAAGTTGAATGTTTCCAAATGTATCAGCCGTTTCTCAGGTTAAACATCAACCCTGAGATACAGTTACATCCTTCTAGCGAGTCCCGAATGGGACGAAACACTCATGCTAGATGCTACTGCTATCCACTATCCATCTTTGTTTAGAATGCTTGTAAATTAAGGCAATATCGAGGCCATCCACACATTATGCACTTATGCTAATAAGAGATTGATCAATTGCAGTCCTAAACATCAATACATACGTTAATTATTGCTATTATTAATGCAAAACTAAACACTTTTATCAAAACAATTTTTGTATTGCCACAGGTGGGAGACGGCACTGATTGTTTGAGTTGTTGAATTTCCATAGTTTACATCATGATTAATTGTAGTTGAAGAGTCCTAAACACTGGAACAGAATAATTTTGTCTTTAATAGATCATGATTCCCACCCCACTTTATTTATTTGTTTGAACACAAATATTAGTACAAAGGGGCACTGAATAAATATAATCCACACAAGCCTCTTGATTTGCCTGTGGGCTGTGATAGTGACTGGATGTCCAGACCTTAGCAGGTAATTTTCCTACAGGGCCACACTCAGAGCCTTTGACCTAAAGGTCTGATCCACAAGGCAGTGGAGCAACGTCAAGAGATACAGTCTGATGGTAGCTGGTAACCGACAATAGGTTCATACGCCATTTTGTTTGGAATCAGGGTTTTCCAACTCCCTAGATGGATCCTCCGTGTTCACCGACCTGGTTAAAGCGCCGTATATTCGCTTTTCGTCCTATTAATTTTGTAAAGAACAGTAATGCCACGAGAAGGCAGTGAGTAGGGCTTCCCTGACAGTGGTTGTATACACGTGACCAAGTGAGAGCGTTTCGAGAGGAAGAGCTGACTTTCTTCACCCTCGGCCGTACCAGGGCAGCTTTCAACTTCGACCAGTATCGATTCCATAAGCAATGTCACTCTAAGGCATTCCAGGTTCCATGTGGATACTATTCTTAAAGTTTTACGTCAGGTTTTGATGGGTGGTACTTAAACCTGACTTTCAACGGTTGGTTTATAAAATTGAATCACAGACTGTTGCGTCTTCTTAGTTGGCTTTCGTTATTTTTCTGGACTATCTCGTCAGTACCTACGTTGGTTAACTTATACTTGAATCGGACACTGATCTTATTGTCCAAAACGATAATAGAAGCATTTCATTTTTCTAAAACGATCAAATTTTATTTCTTGTTCAAAATTTCTTGATTTATGTTGTGCATTAATAATAATTAAACCTCATAATTGCTTTCTGGTCGTAAAAAGTCTTCTACTCGTGAACTCTATACAGAAAACACAAGTTTGGGAGTATACAAAAAGCTTTACTTCGATGATTGATTAGTGTACAGAAATCAAGGGTATTCACAGGATTATGAGTGACCCTGAGATTCCGGAAAGAAATTATTAATAGCATACTAAAATAAATAACAAGTTCATGATCGTATTAATAAAGGACGCTGATTGTTTTGCGAAGTCTTAGCATTTTACTGATTTCTAAAGGTTCCAAGAAATTGTCGAGAAGTTCTAACATCAATTTTTAAAGTTGTTATCGCTGTCTTTCACAATAAAAACATCTGTAATCACGATATAAAATTACTTATACCTGTTACCTCTCGGGTAGAATCACTCTCCACCCAACCGTGTCCTGGCCAAACCTTTCCCGTTGCTATTCATCCTTTTCATATCTGCTTCCATTTCCCGACGTAGTGTGTTATTCAACCTTCCTCTTTACCACTATTAAATGGTTCAATATTTCTGGTATCTTATGGCTATATTGTGTATGTGTATTCATACGTAATCGAAAACATACAAGGTTCTTTAGGTTAAAAGTTTACATTTCCGGAGGGTATCAAATAATGTTATTATCTATTCGAATTGTATAGAATATAATTACCAATTATTGACTCCTTTTTTGTCTCCTTCTTTTTTTTTTCTTCTTCTTTCCTAATATCTTTATATATCGATTTTGTTCAATATCTATTATTTTCTTTTTTAGCTCTATTTGTATGGTATACAATCATAATTTGCAAAATTCCAGTGAAATCAATACAGATCAAGTTAAAGAACCTTCATCAGGAATGGAAAGTTTAAAATCTGACAAAAAATTCAATAATAATACTGATAACGGTAGTAATGATAATAATGAAACTAATAGCAACAAATCAAATCAAACTATTACATCATTTCGTCGACGACCATCTAGTCTACGATTTACATCTCAATATCAAGAACAATCATTTGAACGTAATACTGTTAATAGTTCTACCATTGGTGGTTCTAATAATCGACATACAGTAGCAGGAGCAAGACGACGTAATTATCCTGTAGAAATGGATTCAATTGAATTAAGTTGTAGTGCACCACCGTCTGGAGGTCGTGGTTTTCAACCACATAAAAATATAACAAGTCGTTTAGCAAACACTATGGCATGTACACCAGTACCACATGGTAGTTCACAACATTTGCTAGTCAATTTTGAAGTAAGTTCTCTCTCTTCCTTTTTTAAATGGATATTAACGTCAGTTCATTTATAGTGGATATTTCTATCTTCCCGTTGTTGAAGTTAAGACCTGCAATTGCTCAGCCTCTTTTTGGCATATGTGCATCCTGTTTATTTATTTGAACAAGTAAATATCGGTACAAAGGGGCACCGAATACATATGCGCCACACAAGCTACTTTATTTGTGTATGGACTGCCCAGATGCCCAGAATGAAGCAGATGGTTTTGTAAGGGGACCACACCCAGATCCTTCGATCTAAAGGTCTGATCCACAAGACAGTAGAGCGACGTAAGGAGATGTAGTCCCATGATAGCCAGTGACCAATAATTGGTTCATACGCCGTTTATTCCTTCGGGATCCTGGAACTCGTGTGCACCATTGGTTTGGAGTAAGGGTTTCTCAACTTTCCTAGGTGGATCCGCCGTGTCCACCAACACGATTAAAGTGCCGGACATTCGCTTTTCGTCCCCTCAATTTCGTAAGGGACAGTAATGCCTCAAGAAGGCAATTATTAGGCTGTATACGCGTGGCCATGTGAGAGCATTTTGAGAGGGAGAGCGAACATTCCTTCAGCCTCGACCGTATCAGGGCATTTGCAATAATCGAATCAGGATATGACAGTTGCACATTGTGTCATTAAAAGTTCGATTCAATCATGTTGGCATATGCACAGGTCTTCTGGTGGTTGGTGAGAGAAGCGATAGCTTATTGGTTGAGGCGTTCAACTTTCAGCCACTAAGTCCCTGGCTTGAACCCCTCTCTACTTATTTCCGTTTGGACTACCGAATAGTATCATTAGACGTCACACTTAAGGTGTTACTCATACCCACGTACCTAATGAGTTAGTTAGTTTGATTTTTAATCTAAATTTCTCGTCAATGTTTACGAAGTCACTATAATCTATAATGGAATATTTTTTCATGTGTGATTTGGTTCAATATCTTTCTTGAAATTTCGAATACTCTTATTTCATTCTTTGATTATTTATCTTTTTTTGGACACTTCATCGTCTTTTTTAATCTGTACACGGAAATCGGCGTTATTACTAATATTCAATAGTTGAATTAATGAGTCAATTAAGTCTAGATCACCATGAAAAACTTGGAAGCAATGGACGGCCGTTTCCTTCAAGTTTGGAACTCTTCAACAGTGCGCATCCACGATCCCACTCGCGGGATTCGAATGCAGGACCTATCAGTCTCGCACGAGAACGTTTAACCTCTATTATTATTATTCCTTATCAATTTCCCCTTATGCTTTTTTCTGTCGATAGTCTGGCAACATCACGAATTGATATTCATTAGATGAATATTGAAAAAAGTTCGGCGAATGCTGGACAGTAAAATTATAAAAGGAAGTGTAATAACTTTGTTGTCTATATCTATAATTGTTCATTTTGACTGATATGTAACTAAATTGTTTCTTATCTCGTCTGATCAGCCCTAATGGGTTAGTGTCTGACGAAATCTCTGCACGGATTCAAAACGTTCGTTTGGCTTTTGCCAACTTACGTCACCTATGATATTTGCTTAGGTATAGGTGGGCTGTAAGAAAGCTAGGAGAAGGTAGATCAAAACATCAGTTTATTCCATGAAGTTATCGACTGTTGGATTGAACTGTATTGGTACATACAAACTACTTGCTTGGTGTATACATGATCACTGTAATCAATGGTTGAAAAGATTGAGTGACGTTGTTTAGAACTGGTCAGAACGAATTAGTTGCATTCATTCATATTCTTCCTTCATATGTAGAGTTTTAAAATAGCCTCATACATTTGATTCGGTGAATTCAGTTTTCCCTTTCAAATCACACTGTCTAGGCTTAATTTTTCCTACTGTCATTGATGCTGTTGTTTCTTCTACTACTACTCCTGCTACTGTGATATTTGTTCTTGTAATTTTGTTTCGGTGTTGGTCAGGCAGTCAGTCGGCAACAACCTAGAACTTCGTACGTACGTACATCATTTCAAGTTGCCATACCACACTAGCACACAGATACATTTGTCGATTCAAATCCCATTGTGGTAGAGTTAGTAAAAGTATAAGCAGTAATCGGAAACATTAGGGTTTAAAGATGTTATTTAAGGGGTATAATCCTGTAAAAAAAATTTGCAAATAGAAAAAAGGGACATGAAGAATTCAGAAGATTATAATTTGAGAGAACACAAAGAGTGGATGCACCTGCGCCATTGCTAACGATTTTGAGTCATGTGTCATTCAAGGTTGCTAACTATCGAGTCCTATCGTTTTGCGAATCCCAAGCAGGTAGTCTACACCTACCAACATGACTCAGTCCACTTGTCAATGACTTCGTGGATTTGTGCCATTTTTTGGTTTGGCAACCCCTAGCTTTCTTCCAACCTACTCTCAAACCATAAAACATCGCACGTCGGGACAGTCGGTGGTTGGGTATACGTAACACATGTCCCAGCCATCTCAACTGGTGAAGTTTCATTACTTTATCAATTGATTCGCCATCCTTACCCAGTACCCGTCTCCTAACAACTGGACTACTTACTCTTTGGTCCCAGAATATACGAGAAATGTTTCGAAGCCACTTATGATTGAATAATAGTAACCTACAAATATCCTCTACTCTTACCGGTCATGTTTCACAGCCACGAAATAGGACGGAACGAACTGCTGCGCATTAAACCCGTCCTTTGGTTGGTAGACGGATATCTCGCCTACGCCATAAATGACGCAAGTTGGTAAAAGCTAGTCGAGCTTTCTGTATCCGTGCTGAGATTTCGTCACACACCAGACCACAAAGGTTGATGAGACTCTCAAGATACGTGAAGCGTTCGACACGCTCAACTACTTCAGTATAAGGACTTGAACGGATACACATATTTGTCAGATTCTATGTTGATTATAACACTGATCGACTCAAAATTCGAATGCATATATCACGTTTACATGTGAAATGAATTGAGTTATACAAATTTGTTATTCAACAATATATTTTTTCTAACACAATAATTGATCTTCGTTATCATTCTATTGCATAACAGTCCATTTCAAATATCCGCTTTTATATATATATGAAGAGGCCTACACATATTGTATATCTATTGCATAAACATTTTGATATTTTGTACCTTTAATATAATCATGTGTTACTACTGGTAGTAGCGTGAATCCATAACGTGTTGTTTTAATTTACAATTATAGTTTGTTTGTTTTGCTCAAATCAATATTGAATAAATTGTGTCGATGTACTTATTATTGTTGCTATCTTGATCGTTTAAAGAACAAATTAAACTTCATCTTCATACAGTCATTATTCATGAAAAGGAACTTAAACTATAAAAATCGATTTATCGATTTTATGTATCTAATACTAAGAATCGTGTAAGGTTTGAAGTGGATATCTTTATGTTGTGTTTGTTTGTGTGTGTGAAAACCTTTCGAAGCTTATTATAAGTGTGGTGGAAACCAAGTCCACATGATGAAGTGTCGGTTTTTTAGTTGTGTGGGTTATATTTTTGTTTGTGTTTACACTTACTGGAAGCTACTTACTTACTTACGCTTGTTACCCCTCATCATGGACCATAGGTCGCCTACTAGCATTCTCCATCAAACTGTCTTTCACAATCCTTTCCACTTGTTTCCGGTTGCTATCCATCATTATTAGTGTCTAGTTCCGATTCCCGATGCAGTGAGTTCTTCAGCCTTACAATTTTCTGTTTCAATTCAGGATTTCAAGTTAGCGATTGCCTCGTGGTGCAGTTTGGTGATTTTCTCAATATATGTCATATCCACTTCCAACGTCGTTTCCCAACTACTTGTACCTTTTTGATGATGGTTGTGGTAATTCTTCAAGTTTCAGCTCCGTGCAGTAGAACTATCTTAGCATTCGCATTGAAGATTGTGAATTTGATGTTGGCTTGAAGACAGTTGTTCTAAGGTTCATATGTTCTTCAGTTGAAGAAGTACTGCCCTTGTTTGTCAATTCTCACCTTTATATCAGATCCTCCACGTTCATTAACTATGTTACTTAAATACGTGAATGTTTCCACCTTTTCCAGATTTTCTCCATCAAGTATGATTGTGTTGGTGTCCTCCGTATTTTAGGATCTTGCTTTTTCGCTTATTTATGCTGAGGCCTATTGCTGCAGATGCTGTTGGTACAGTGTTTGTCTTGACCTGCATTCGTTGATGTATATGAGATGGAAGGACCAGGTCATCTGCAGGGTTCAAATCGTGTAGTTGCATCCAACCTGTCAATTGTATTCCTTACTTTCCTTCGGATGTGGAAGTCTTCATCATCCCGTCGACCACCACCAGAAGAAAGAGAATGAGGAAGAGTTGAGAGCCTTGTCTGACTCCCGTCCTTACTTGGAATTCGTCTGTCAGATGTCCTGGAAGCTACTTTCCATGCGAAATTTTTCATTCTTATTTTTTATGAATTTTAATTTGTATAATGTTTTTGATGATTTAGGGTTAAATCATCGTAAATTCCCGTGACATTCTGTAGATAGTCAGCAGACAACGACGTTTATACTAAATTTTATTCCTGTTGTCTTATCTGTAATTTTGAGGAAACTGATAATGTTCATGGTTTTTTTTTTACCCAATTCACACAGTTGTAACTGACCTCTATGAGCAGCTTTCATAGTTTACTTGGTAAATACCCCAAAACGTCATAGAACTAGTTAAGTAGTTGCTATATTCCGACTTCAAAGTGTTAATGGAAGACTGTAAATTGATTTGTCGATCTAATTGACATAGCATCGTTTTGCACTTATGTGTGTCCACATTGTAAATTAATGGATGAAATTCAGCCGTCACCAATCAGTGAACAATCGATTGTACGAATTAACTACCAAACACAGAAATTGTCTAGCTCAATTCCTAAGCATATAGAAGTTCCTCAGTTTGTTTAAGATTTAGGAAAGGATAATTTCATATGTTTTAGCTTGGTCGATCCTAAATCACATTGTTTAGATTTTCTAATCACTTGGTGGCTATTC